GAGGTAGAGCCAAATGGTGTTGGCAGACGGGTAGTTGTGGTAGGTTTCGACGAGTTCGGGAGGAGTGGTGCCCATGAAGACACTAATGACCGCGCCATCGGCCTTCTCCCAATTCTTGTACTTGAGCAGCGCAGCAGCATAATTTGCTTCGTCGGTGGCATTAACTGGATCGATTGCAATCTATTTCTAACAGTGCTGTTCGAAAATGGCCGGAATGCCCTTGAAATAAAGACAGCGAGACAAGCCGACAGTTTGAGGGGGAGTGTGCTGGGTGCATTTTCATTTGCACGTCATCGTGTTGTCTGTCCATATAATTTCATTCCTTTTGGGTTTGGTGCACTATGTCATGTGTGTGGATTTTTTGGCTTGTGTGCCTGCATATTTTATTTTTTTGCATGTACAGGTGCGCTTGGATTGTGCTTGCTATCGATCACATTCTAACGAGCGATGAATGGTTGGAATTAGAGCACATATAAAGAGGTTACGAATAAATGTGATGGATTTGTTACAACGTTTTGGAAGTTTGTGGTAGCCGCTACACCAAAGTCGGAGTGCCCTATAAGGAGGAGAGACCATCATGTGTGGAAATTTTGTTCTCACCTTACAGCTGCAGTTTTTGGGGATTACCAACATTGCACAATATGCACAGTGGGGATTTTGTCTTGCCAGGCTGGTTGAACCTGAAGATTGGGAGTCAAGACTTTGACTCTTGTCATGTTCTTGACCCAGGGCCTCCAGGGTCCTTCCCTTTCATCCCTCCCTTCCTACCCCATCTTCTAACTGTGCTTCAAGGTTTCCATTATGTCCGTAAACTTCCTAAGCTTTAATGATTGTGACTCTGAAGAATGTCAATTTATCCTTTGACAGATTACCCCTCTGTGCACGAAATGCAATAGCCCGCTCGCTGTTTGACGGAATTGAGTAACTCAACTAGCTTTGGAAAGCTGAGGTTCCATGCTACAACATATTTGATTCTCATAGTGTTTTCACATATTGGATTTTTGGATATAGCTTTCCAAAGGTCTCGAGTTCTTTGCATGTCCTTACGAAGTGCTGCAGAAATTATTAAGGAGCCCTGCAATCATCTCATAATAGCCATCGTACACCAACAGTTGTTAGGATTGGTAGTTATTATATAAGAGATGGTAATTATTGTTTAGCTTAGAGATTTATCACAGTTCTAGTACTTAACATTGGATATGGAGCTTATTCTGTAGCTTGGTACTTGCCAAAATAAGCTTTTACCATCAACCATGGTACTCACTACTGACTTGTTACATAAAGCTAACCCTATTACTTGCCATAGGCCCGGTATTTTACCTTTGCCTTGGTACAAACCATAGAGTCGGTACTTGATGTCAGGTTGGACGCTTACCTTGCTACCGAGCCTGGGGCATCGTACTGACCATAAACATCTGGCTTGGTACTTATTATAGACTTGGTACTTAATGTTAGGCATTTTACTTACCACCTTTATACTCAACTCATGCCTCGTACATACCATAAACGTTGGGCTAATTACCACAGACTCGGTACCTAATGGAAGGCTTCATAATTACCATAGATTTGCAACTTAACGTTATAGACGTAGTACACATCGTGAGGTTCAGTAGTTACCATAGACTCGGTAATTGGTACTTTTCCTTAATCACGTCTGTGATGTAAGGCTTCGTATTGACTGCAGTCATCTAAGTAACGTTAGGTTGGTACTTGCCATGGATTTGGTACTTGAGGTTAGGGTTGGTGCCAATCATAGATTTGGGTATGATAGTTACCATAGACATGGTAATAACCCTTAAGCTTGATACTTACCGTAGACTTGATATGGAGTTTACAACTTGATATTTTAAGTGGACTTGCTACTAAAATTATACGGGACAGTTACCATAGACTCACTACTTGATGTTAGGCTCGGTATTTACCATGGACTCTGCACACTTTAGGTTTGGTACTTGCTACAGAGTCGATAATTTAAGTAAGGCTCGGTACTTAACCTTAGCTCAGTACATAATGTTGAGCTTCGTGCATACTACGATAAGGTAACATATTCATAAAGCTTGCTTCTTGTTAGTGCAATTGGCATTGTTCTCATTTCACTGGCATCAAGTACAAAGAGTTCCCAATATACAGTACATCAACCTGGATTGCTACACTGAAAGGCTATACCTACGCTGATGTCGATCCACGGGAGCACTGCAGGTTGCCGGGGACGAGTCGACGAAGCCAGATGGAATGGGTTAGGTGGGCGGGAATTGGACTTGAGCTGTGAAGAATGAAAAGACGTGGGTGGAGGAAGAATGACCTCCAACCACATTATATAGCCGGAGAAGGGCTAATAACGCACTTCGACGATTCCAAAATTGCATTACAAGTAGCTTCGCGTTCACAATATACAAGTGTAACACTTCAAAAAAATACATATTGAGAAAGCTTGCTTCTTATTAGTGCAATTGTCATCATTCTCATTTCACTGGACTGAGCTGAGATATGGGTAGGGATGTTCGCTGGTGGCGCGCGAGTGCTCAAGAATGTTGTGCAGGTGACAACACCGACGCAAGGGTCTGTACCTCGCGAGAGGCCGACACTAGTTGGTCGGAAGCATGCGTGACGTACATCTCTTTCGCCTTGTCACTGCGCCATTTGCCAAGACATTTGAAAAGCCGGTCTGCTACGCCTCCATGGGCGGCGACAGTCGCGGCACCTTTGCGGAAAGAGTGGGTGCCGAGATGGTGTTCGCCGAGGCCAATGGTGTGAAATGCCTCCTAGCACCAGTTACGTATTGTGGTGTATGATGGTGGCTTGCTGGTGACGTCGCCACCTGATGTAGTCCTGAACACTTGGACTAAGGGTCCTGGGGTGTTGGGTTCGTTGCCCGCCAAACGGATGAAGCGATTGGTGCATCGCACAGGGCAATGGGGTCCTGGAACAGTGGCAACTGAAATCCAAGAGACCTTGCTGAAATGTAGCTGGGTCGTCAGCACTCATGAAGTGAGAAGCCATCACGTGCACTTGGTGCAGAGAGACTGGTTCCTTGGTTCAGTTGGGTCGGAGGCATCGCCGCTTTGCAAACTCTCGAACAT